CTGCGACGTAAAACAGAATTGGCTGACCTCTTAACCTCCTCCCGCAGTGCTACCTGTTCCACATGTACGTCGGCGTGCGCGCTGGTGGCGGCATTGGAGATGAAATCGAGGACCCGGCAGGAGATGAATACGAGCTCTACAGAGTCTTCTTTGACATCACCTTCTTCTTCTTTGTCATCGTCATCCTGCTGGCTATCATCCAGGGTGAGGGCTTCTTCCCTCCAACAGAAGTGCAGACAAAATTCAAACATTTAGAGTTTGAAAACTTGTGATGAAGTTACTTTATCTCTTAGAAAAAGTGGAATAGAGAAACGTGTCTTGGGGGTTTGAAAGTTTAAGACTGTATGATTGAAAGTCGCAGGTCTGAATCCTAAATCTGAAACGGAAACATTTCAAGCAGTAGCTTTGCTCTTCTTTGCCTTTCCGTCCGTCAGGTTTGATCATTGACGCCTTCGGAGAGCTGAGAGACCAGCAGGAGCAGGTCAGAGAGGACATGGAGGTAAGATAATGAGCCTCGGTGGGATTTAAACGGTCACTTCACCTTCAACTCTTCCTCGGCTACAAGACGAGAACGGGTTTGATCTGAACTCGTCTTTCTTCTCCCTCCAGACGAAATGCTTCATCTGCGGAATAGGAAGCGACTACTTCGACACGACGCCGCATGGCTTCGAGACGCACACTTTAGAGGAGCATAATTTAGCCAACTACATGTGAGTTACACACTTCAGAATGCAGATGTGACAGTTGCACTCCTTTAAACACACCCCGTATTTATTATTTATGAGCTTGTGCTTGACCTTCACCTCTGTCATCCTCCAGAAACAAGACAGTATTTGCATATTATTAGAATATTATTTCACCATTTTCCTGTGTCTCCTTCAGGTTCTTCCTGATGTATCTCATCAATAAAGATGAAACGGAACACACCGGACAGGTCAGTAAACACATGGATCAATTTAATCCGCTTATCCTAAAGCAGTTTCTGTACATTTTAAACTTCTATTTTACTCATTGTGGGCTTATTTGTCACTGCAATATAAAATCCTGCACCTTTATGGAAACAGCACAGCCGTGGCTAGAAGTAGAGAGAGAGTTCAAAAGAACGTTTTGTGCAGAATAACCAAGCTATAATGGCACATGTTGAATTTCTTCATTTATTTAAAAAAAAAAAAAAGAAGAAACCTGAGCTCAACATGTGCAGCATTTTTCCACATGCACACAGCTGTTGCCAGTACTGGGGAAATAAATATGGTTGACTCCTATCTGCTCTGTGTTTACGCAACCTGCAGTTCATCCCAGTTCAGCTGAGAAGTGCAAAGTTTTTAGTTTTTTCTAGAATTATTTTTGGGGATGTATTTTTTAATGAGACAGAATGAAGTGATGCTGATGAAACATCACAATTTTAAGCTTAGATCCGGTTCATTTTCCCGACAGAATAGAATGACACAAATGAGCAGTTCAAGGACCATCAGAAAGTTGAAAATCTGACAATTTTTTTCAGCTTTTGCCATTTCTGGCTGATAAATGGTGCAATTCTGGTAATTTTTTGAAAGATAACTTGCTTTTCAAATCTGTGTTTTTGGGTTAAGGAGCAGGCCTATTCATTTATTTATTTTTTGACTTCATTAATAATAACGCTGCAACATTTTCTCTTTTCGCCCCCAACCTTCAGGAGTCATACGTGTGGAAGATGTACCAGGAGCGATGCTGGGACTTCTTCCCTGCTGGAGACTGCTTCAGGAAGCAGTATGAGGACCAGCTCGGATAAAGTCCTGCATCTTCGAACATGCGTCTAAATGAGAAAAAGAGGAGAGAGGAGGGAAATTCAGAGAGAGAGGAAGGATTTGAAATTTTACAGGTTGAACACATCTATGTCTTAGTTTTGTCTTCTGCATACCGCTCTCCTCTGTTAAAGCTATGCACACTTTGACTGCGCCGTTGTACCACCTGCAGGAGAACGCTGACGGAACCACACGACGAGAAGCAGAATAATAATGACAACTCAACAGCCAAGGGCCTTTATTTATTCCGCTACGAATACACTACATGGCCTTTTTTTCATTTAAAATATACATAGATTGCCTTGCATCAGTTGTGTCTTGACACAAGGGGCTCTTTTAGTCGCTGCTGCTGTAAACGTTATAGTGCCTATAGCAATGTCACTGCTTTAGCCATCAGGTAGTTTAGACTTTTAGTTTTATTTGAGATTCGAGTGGATGTGTCTTGTTTATAATGTTTGTAAGACTGGATTTTTATTTTTTTTTTGTATGTGGCTGCTGCCATTTCCGATTGTTTCGGTGAGAGAGCGCGCTCAAAAAGAAAATGATCTTCGAGGGAGCAGCGAACCTTTTTCGGGCCCTCTCTCGCTCCTTTTCTCTCAAAGACACAGAAACTTGTCTTCAAACAAGCGATCGTGAACGAAAACCGACTTGGACTGACTTTGCCAGGATAATAAAAAAGTAGTGTTATCTGAGTATGATTCAGCTACATAGACAAAAACCCAGTTGGCACTCTGAAGTCTTACAACGCGTCCCCCCCGGATGTATGTGGTCCCCTATCTCCACTGGTGTCTCCGTGCCGTATAAGATAGCGATGATGTACACATACAGCGTAGGAGGATGCCAAGGTTATTTATTTATTATTTATACGCAGATCAGATCTTCTGAAGACGACCGTTTTAGCCCGTCTGTATCTCTGGCCAACAGTCTGTTCTACGACACTTTATGCACAAATAAGTTTTCGTCTGTGCATTAAAATAAGTAATGAATGTATTTGATGTATACATTTCTGGCCCAAGTGTCACCTGTATAACTGAGTCACGACTAGGCTGCTTCGGGGGCCTTTTGATGAAAAGACATATTTTACATAAATCATAGATACATATATATATATTTTTTCTTTTCTTTGGGGCTTTGAGGAGTTTAAACGATCCACGCTGCTTTGTCAGACGTGAACACGTTTTGCGAAATCCGCAGCGATGAGGAGATTTGGTCTTACACTGAAGTAAATGCCCAGTTTGCAGTCAGAAGAGAGAAAAATTAGCTTTTGTTTTTTTTGCTGGTTAGGTTTTTACGATAGATATTTTTAGGAATTCAGCATATTTGGTTATTTTTTCTCGATCCAGAAAGTCATGTGTGATGCGTTGATCTCGGACGGCTCCGCCTCACCACGCCTCCTTCAGAACACACACCAACCCACAAACTCTCCATCTCGTATTTAATGTTACGCCAGAGACAGAGCAGTATTTTTGGTTTTGCTGATGACTCTGAAGGGTGCATTTGCCGCTGTGGATCCACACAGAGGCGGCCGATGGTCTGGAGCTGAATGGAGATCTCTACTTTCCACTTGACCGAGTGTCCTCTGACTGAACCCTGTGTTTCAATACAGAATAAACAGATTATTTTAAGGAGAACTTGAACATGTTTCCTTATTTATGTCTGATCTTCTGTATGCATGATGGGAGTGTGGATATGAGGTTTTGGTTAGAAGTAGGTTTAGCCTGAAGGTACAGGTTAGAGAATAAGTTATTGATCCTTACAAACCTTTAAGCGTGCATGTAGCTGTGAATGTTGCAGGAAAATATATAGAAACCCACATTGTTTATGCAGTTTAATGAGTGTGTTAAATACATTTAGTAGCTGTCTGATGTATAAACTTCAGAAAGTATGCAGGATCGTTTCTTTAAAATGTCCACGGTGGTTATTCTGACTCATCCATTGCTCAGATTTCTCACAAATAAGGACAAAATATAGCGTTTACATTATTCATTACAGTGTTTAAAACAAGTGTTTGATATATTCTCTTTCTTTCTTATTTCCTCTGATATAATTCCGTAGACTTTTCAGTTTGATCCCGACGCTCATCTTTAACTGACTTTTGCAAGATTTCATGTTTTGCTTAATTAAACGTTCCCACTCTCAGTGATCTGCTGGTGGAGGTTCACAGTGGCGTTGGCAGAAGTTTATCTTAATCAAACACGAAAATGTCGTGCTGTTGACTTTTCAGGAAACACCCATGTATTAGCTTTTGTTCTCTGAAAGATTTCTGCGCCTATCTGCATGTATGTGTGTCTATGTAACCATCTTTGCATGTTTACTTTACAAAGCTTTAACCTACTGCCTCCAGAGAATATACATATTTAGAATTATACGTGGTTACCTGAGTGGTAGATAAAGGTTGCATGTTTCTGTTTGACTTTGGTTGACAACCTTATCTGAATATTCCATGAATCACACTGTTAATCGTAGGGAAGTGGAAAAATAATATCAGGTTTCTGTGCCGGACGGAGATCATGTACTGTAGCTCCACTTTGTAAAAATCGTTGTCTTTTTTTTCACCAAAAAGATCAAGAAATATTGTGATAGTTGCACGTTACAACATGTATTATGCCAGTTTTGTTCATTGTGTAAGGTTTAAAGGGAGTTTTGCAGCCATAATGGTGCAGTAAAATGTAGAAGCAGTGCTGGAAAGTAAGTATTGACTCAAGTACTGTATAATATATTTTACTGCAACACCTTTATTTGGCAGCTTCTGCAAAAGAATGAGAATTTGTTTTAGATTTTGAGTTTAAGACCAGAGCAGTTCTTTCTACTTAATTAATTCATCCATATTAATAACACAGGGATGGTGAGTACACGAAGTGCACTTTTGCTTTTGAAATGACATTTTCAGTTCACTTTTACTTGCAATGGAGTACTTTTATGTTCCCGCAATTACTATTTTTTACAAACCAAAGGACCTGGATGCGTATTGACACTCACAGATTCATTAGCTGCAACAATTTTTAAAGTCATTTTCCTTCCACAAGCTGCACACACACACACACATCTTTTGTTGTCAAGTGCCACTCCTCTGCCGGGGCAAAGGTAAATTTGCATCTTCTGCCTCCAAAGCAAACACGCTGATGCAGTCCTGGGTTTGGTTCTCTGTTCTGCTCCTCCCTCAACACTTGTATAAATTGAGGCCTCCAGCAGAGATCAGCCTCTGACAAAAACTCTCCTGTTTTCGACCTGCTTGTCCATCTCACCGACCGCTGCCATGTTTGTTGCCCCGCCCGGCTACCAGCCCATCTATGGGCCTGTAAGTATCTTAACTATGACTGAATTCTTTTTATTTATAATGATGGATGTTGTATTGCACGAATGACAGCAGATTAGGATGTAGGGCAGATCATGCTGAATAAATATTAGTGTAGTGTAACCCTTTTCGTGCAGGTAAAACTAATTCTGGACTGGACTGTGGGATTTATATTAAAATCTGGTTATTTGCTGCAGCTCCTCATGCATTCATCACATCATTATGAGATTCAGTGGATTTATGTTTTAAACATTGCAATATGAAAACCCTTTTGTTGGTGAGAATTTTAATATAATTTTGGGACTGTATTAATTTCATATAAGGCAAACCCCAAGAAATGCAAAAAAGAAAACAGGCTTGTGTTAATATTTTTAAATTTAGAATAAAAATATGCCAAGGAATAAAATTATGTGGGGAATTGTGGCCATCCTCATGTCAGTGCAGTCGTGGAAAAAGTGTCACTAAAATCTAAATTATTAGTTTCATGTACTTAAAGTGTCAAAAGTAAACATTACAAGTAATCATTCTGCAGGAAAACTGTTTACGACATTGTTAGAAGTTGTGAAGCAGAGCTGAAGTAGCACTTTAAGGTTGTCGCAGATTCAGGTGGAGCTTGTTTTATTTGCTTTACATTTACATAAGTTAGTCTAATGGTTCCAAAATTAGACGTCTAGTGCTCGCAAAGGGATCACAAGATGGGTCATGAGATGATAAATGGAGGAGAAAATCTGAATTTCTTTTATGAATTTTTCACCAGTCTTTGTTTTTGAGTGACATGTTGGAGCGCTGTTTCACTTTAGGCCTCAAAAAAGTTATTTAATGAAGCTATTTACTACTGCTGCTACTACTTTAAAAGTATAAGTACTAAATGATAACAATATGTGAAACATGACAAGGATCTCCAACCAATCACTGCCTGTTTATCACAACTAAAATGTTTTGTAATCCTTTACTATGCTTGTATTTTATATTAAACTTTAATTTGTAACATAGCCAATAACTTCCCCTATCAATAGCATGTGATATGAACGTGAATTAAAAGTGCATACTAAGGTATTTTTATCAACTGCTTTCCAGGAATAAAGCAAACATTTGCTGATATACACTGTTTCTGTAAGATACTCACAATGATTCTATCTTGAACCACAATTACTGATCTACTGAATATCGTGACTTATATGCCTGCTTGTATTGCACAATGTGGTTGATTATTTTTGCCCACGGTGCAGAGAATTCCCTATCTGGGGCCCATTTATGGAGGCTTGAGGGAAGGAGTGTCCATCTACATCCAGGGGTCCATCCCTGAAGACATCACCAGGTGAGTTTAGAGAGAAGGAAATATACAGCATTTCAGGCTTTTATCACACATTCTTGATCTTGTTTAGTTAAAAGCTTTTGAATGTGTTCAGTCCATATGTTAGGAAACTTTCTTATCAGTGTTATCCACAGGGACATGCAGTAATTTATCTCTCATGAAAACCATCCGACAGCATTTGAATACTGAGGGAACACCTTGTGTAACCTCGTTCTGGGTGGAGCCGGTTTCTTTGCATTGTTGGATATCAAAGCACACCTGCAGCACACAGCTTCACTTCACTGTTTGCCCCTCCTCTTTTCAAAATAGTCATATCCGAGCAGCCAAAGGTGCTTTCACGGGCCATTAGTGCACAAAGCAAACAGCGCACATACCTGACTTTATCATTACATCTGAAACTCCTTTGAAGAGAGATTTTTTTTTACAAGATCCCAAGATTTGTCTCCACTCTCACCCCACCTGCACTGTTTGCATTTCTTCAAACTCACCTGTCAGTTACTCCAGTAATGTCTCTGGTTCACCTGATGCCGTTTTTGGCAGGTTCTTCATCAACCTGCTCTGCGGAGAGTCTGAGGCCAGCGACATCGCCATGCACTTCAACCCTCGGTTTGATGGCTGGGACAAGGTGGTCTTCAACTCTTGTCAGGGTGGATCCTGGGGGTCCGAGGACAAGATCCGTAGTATGCCTTTCTGCAAGGGCGAGCTCTTTGAAATGGTCATCATAGTAACTTTACAGGGTTACCAGGTCAGATTGATTCGAAGTACACACATTGCAGACATTTTTATGAACAATACTTTACTTTAACCCCACTTTCCAACTGCTAAAAACTCAATAACTGGTTTATTAACACTATAACAAAGTTGTAGGCAGGTATAAAGACACTGTAAGTCTGGTGCTCACAGGAGGAGTTAGAGCAAAATGACAGATGCATGAATCAGAGTTTTTATGTTAATGTGCTGCCTTTAAATTCCAATAATGGGGTTAAAGTAAAGTATTGCATCTTTATAAACTGCAATTTAACCAAAAACATGTGCTTTTGTTGTGCTGCAGGTGTCTGCGGTGTCTAATTTTGTAAATACATCTTGCACAAATCTGTTTAACATAATTATTTATGAACAGACCTATCCTGCACCCATACTCAGCATTCGTCTTTCTTCTCTTTGCAGATTAGAGTCAACGGGAATGACTTCTACACCTTCGAACACCGTCTCCCCATGGAGCGAGTTTGTGCAATGCAGATTGCAGGAGATGTTTCCATCCAGACGATTAATGTGATCGGGGTGAGTCCTCGAGTCTGAGAGGCTTTGAGGTCAACGCTTTGGGCTTTGCTGGGGGAAAAAATAGATTAAATGCATGATCTGTGAACTGTTGATGGCTAATGCGTTCTGCTTCTGTGCCAGGGTGCTCGAGGTGGCATGAATAGGTATCCTGGAGGAATGGGAGTGAGTAAAATGTCGTGGCCAGAAAATGCTTGTGCTTGCTTTGTTTTGCTGGGTTTAAAAAATACATTGTTAGTTAAAGCTGAAACCTTATTGTGCAGTGAAAACATGTCTTGCATCTCCTGCAGGTAGTGGTTGCTAGGGTGTTATTAATCGTTGCTAGGATGCTGTTGCTGCAATGCATGATCAGAGGACTTTTAATAGCTGCTTAAAGGGTTTGTATAGGTGGATATATTATTGTTAAAGCAGTTGTTGAAGTACTAGCTGCTGTACTTGTGTGGTTTAACACATTGTGAGCAGATGTACTATCAGGTTTTAAACTTCCCTGAGCAGTGATGTTGTTATTTCTCCCCCCCAAAAAAGGTATTTTATTATCAATGTATAACTCGATTCACCCGTTATTCCAAAACATTATTATATTGTCACACTTGCAGCAGTGTGTGTCCATATGAGTCAGTTTTCTCCTCATAGATCAAAGACATAATCTGCTGTCTTTACACTTTATCCCGTCTGTTGATTGAATTTGTTTCTTCTGTTTTGTTTGTTCAGGGTGGAATGGGAGGAGGAATGGGAGGAGGAATGGGAGGAGGCATGGGAGGAGGCATGGGAGGAGGAATGGGAGGAGGAATGGGCGTGAGTATGCATAGTTTCTTACCTGCAAGGCATCCAATAAAATGCTACGACTGAATACAACACAGCTTTGCACACACTTTAAAATATACATCATGTTCAACAGGGAGGATATCCCGGAGGAGGCATGGGGGTGAATAAACACTTTTATTTCTACAATTCATCAGTGCTCAGATTCTTTTAAATGTAGCGTGAAGTGACCCTGCTTCTTCTATTTTCTAGGGAGGATACCCAGGCGGCATGGGAGGAGGAATGGAAGTAAGGATGTTTATTGAGGGTCAAAATTAAATTAAATGCATTATCTAACAATGTGTAACATGTTTGTTGTGTTTCAACAGGGAGGATATCCAGGAGGCGGCATGGGGGTGAAAAAATACTTTTATTTCTACTCCTACTTATCTATTTAAATCGTGTCTATTGAAAAATGTCCTGTAACAAAGCGTTGCTCATTCATATCTAATAGCAGATAAAGTATTCCTTGTGAAATGTGTGCTTGTTTGCAGGGTGGATATCCAGGAGACATGGGAGGCGGTATGGGGGTATGTAGTGATGCTACAGTAATCGCCTGTGTTGTCTTTGTATGCCACATTGATTGGTGCATAATGGAATTAGAATGTAATCTGTATTTTTCTTTTTCTTAAAGCAGGGTGGATTCCCAGGATCAAATCTGCCGGTGAGATAAAGCTAACTCGTTCTTTGTGGACATGATTTTGTCCTACGCCTGGTAAAATTACTGAAATATGTCCATCTGATTCTGATTCCAGGGTATGGGTGGACAGCCAGTCTACAATCCTGTAAGTCAAACATGTTTCTGTCATGTAAACTTGACTTTACAGTGTGTTTTCTGTGAACAATGAGCAGCCTGTTGCCATATGGTTTCGTATTCTGATATAAAACGTCTGATTATGTCTTCGCTGTGTGTTTTTAAGCCTGTTCCCTACTCCAACATGATCCCAGGAGGGATGTTCCCCAAGAGGACCCTCATCATCAGAGGCATGGTGCCCTACGGAGCTGACAGGTGTGTGTTTTTTTTAGTCTGCACGCTGAGATCACTGCAGTGTAGGGCGCTAACAGACATCTATCGCTCCCCCCGGTGCTGCAGAATGAGCATCAACTTCATGGTGAGCAGATGTCGGGACATTGCCTTCCACATGAACCCCAGAGTGAGGGAGGGGCTTGTGGTGAGAAACAGCATGCTGGGAGGCAGCTGGGGCCAGGAGGAGAGAGAGCTCAGCATGAGTCCCTTCATGGAGGGACAGTACTTCGATGTAAGTAGCGTCTCTCATTTCAGTCATGCATTTCTACTGTGGGTAAAGCGGTGTTTTGAGCTTTCTATCTGTGTCTCGTAGATGTCGATTCGCTGCGGGAACCAGAGGTTTAAGGTGTTTGTGAACGGGCAGCACTTGTTTGACTTCTTCCACCGATTCCAGTCCTTCAGTGAGATCGACATGCTGGAGATAGAAGGCGACATACAAATCTCCTACATCCACTTCTGAGACCACACACATGTTTGTACTAAACACTGCTTTTTCATTGTTTTATAGCAGAAGATGCATCAGCTACTGAGTTTTTACATTTTTTTTCTCAAGTTCTTCATGTTACCTCACCTCCTGCTGTATTGATTACACCTGGTTGACTGAAATAATGTCACAAACACACATTTTGTATGAATAAAATCAATACCGTCAACGTCCAGCTCATTTTTGAATGAACACATTTATTTCTTATGCAAAATACTGCAGATGCTGTATAAAAATTTGTTTACAAATCATGACAGTGACAATATAAAGGCAGCTATAATACAATCTTCTCCCAATTAAAAAAAAAAAAAAAAAAGACCACCAGGAGAATGACAATCCACACACACATTTACTGTAATGCAAAATACTGGCTCTCTGAAGGCACTTCGTTGTGAAATTCTGCAATTTAAGGCTAATTTAGATGTAACTGACGGGGAGTTTTTGCTGGAATATGTGTGGAAAATCTGTTTTTTTGTTCATTTGTTTGTCCAAAGATGTAAAATGCTCCAAACAGGGCAAAATCTATTCGTGCCTCAGTCTCAGCACCACTCTATGTGGATCATAAAAAATGGAGCATACAGTACCAAAGGTATTGCAAGAAACGCACACTTTAACTTAGCAAGGAATTTCAGCGATGCTACCGGTATAACATACCACAGTATATGTTTTCATACATGAGTACCGTATACAACAAAGAAACACAGCGCCTCATCGAAACTACTCCCAAAATGTCTGCAGGATGCGGTCGAGTCCATTTCAGTGACGGAACAATGGACTAATATGTCTATAAGTGCATGCAGCATGATGTAAAGTTGCAGCTGGGCCTAAAAGCGGCGGTTTGGATGAGCTTTGCTTCCGCTTCTAGCTGCTCTGTTCTCATCCTCCTCGACTCTGCTGGTAACAGTCTTCTATTTACAGTGCTAAACCTCGAGAAAAAATATCCCAGAGTGAGAGCTGGAGGATGATGTCAGAGGAAGAGGTTAGTCATACTTCCCCAGTCTTTACGGGGAAAAAAAGGGCCCTGTAATGTTTTCTCAGGCTTTGTTGTACGCTGTTGTTGTCACATGAAACACGACAGGCTTCTACATGACGCCTGGCAACATACATATGTACAGAAAAGAAAAGAAAAAACGGGAAGATATACAAATTATAAACATACACAGATATATATATATATAAAAAAAACATTAGTGCAAAGTTGTAGAAATACAAAAAAATCAGCATAAAAATGACAAAAATGTGTAATAACACTGTGCTTGAGACAAAAGCGTGGGTGAGGAGCTCGTCATTTGTGTTGAGTAACTCCGTCACGTCCTCAGCCCGCCATCCTGTACCTCTGATTATTTGTACCCTCGTGATTTGACCAGTACCTCCGTCCCTGTACAACAAAGTCTCAGGTTCCTGAGTTATGACAAAGACGTATAGATTAGTTGAAACCTGTCAGTGAGAAAACAGTCGTCTCGCGTGCGCTGCAAATGGCTCAGTGTGCTTAACGCAGCACTAACAGTGAAACCCGTGGAGGAGATGCAGGAGCTCGTTACAGCGCTACAGTGAGCTATGATGCAAATTACTGTCGCTCTTTTTGTCCATGTATATATATAAGATGAAGGTTCCTCTTACAGGAGTTTATAAAGCCTTTTCTTTTCTTTGCAAATTTTGGTTTTAATTTTACTCCATTGCTATTCCGGTGTGTTGAAACTCAAGAGAAGGTCAAACTAATGATGGTGCTCGAGTCAAAAAAGAGTTTTACCCAACAGCGACAATCCTGGCAATCTGAGCCCAGAAATATTTTACAACCCTGCGTGAATATAACCTTAAAGCAGCCAGTTGTCTCCACCAGATTCTGCTGCTTCTTCCTTCCTTTCCACTCAAGTTATTTTCGCTCTGAGTTACACAGATACAGGAATAAGTGCGACTTCTCCATCAAGAGGAACAGTTTCCTCGGGCGGGGCGAGTTTTTCGTCCACGTTAGCGCTTACTCACTGGAACAGTTTGAGCTTTTGCACAGTCGTAGGTTCAGTCTGGCAGTGTCTGAGCTGGTTTCACAAAGAGGTTTTTATTTTTTAGCTTAATCGCTCTGCTGGTACAGGTAGTTGGACAGGAATGGTATATTATTGCTATAGTGACTGGGGATTCATTGCTCTGATTGTGCTGCAGTGTGGCCAACAGCATGTACTTTAAACTTCACCCATTGTCAAATTTTACACTCACTTGTAATTGTGCTCATCTTAGAAGAGAGGGGTATGACAAAAAAAAATAAAATCATCCCAGTCCTTCACTTCCTTGGAATGCCTTCGGCTGTGTGTGGATCTGTGCAAAACATGTATGGAGAGGCACATAAGGTTTCCCACAGTCAGTAGCAAGAGGCTGCAAGGGTCTCGTTCGTGGACTGGGAAAGCACGCTTTGGCAGTGACCAGTCTTGTCATTTTTAGGAGTGAATCCATCACTGCCAGGGCATTTTCCTGGATCCGTCCCTGTCCTCCAGCAGCTCCACAGTCGGGGTGGGAGCTGGGGTGGAGTTGGGACTGGAGTGGTAGGACGGCTGTAGAGGCAGCGTGGCTGTGGAGGACGACACCGGCATGTCCAGGCTCTCCATGGAGTCACAAAGGGTCCGGTTGGTCTCGTGTTGGGGACAGAGGACGTAGCGGTTTGGGTGGTGGACCTCCACCGTGGTCACAGAGTCCAGACCTTTCAGGCAGAGAGGCGTCGGGCCCCCAACGGGGTCACGACCACCGACGGCGCCGAGCTCCATGGAGGACTCGTCCATGTTGACGTACAGAATCTCGTCGGGGTCCTGGGGGTCTGGTAGATCCTCCAGAGCTTTTTCCAGCTCGCAGCGCAGGGACTCGAATGATGGACGATCCTTTGGGCTCAGCAGCCAGCAGGAGAACATCAGAGCGTAGCTGGAGAGGAGGCAGAAATGTTAATAGTGCACCTAAAGTCAGGACATTTCTAAAGTCTGCAATAAAGATTTTCTTAGGACATTTCCTAGAGTGGAGTATGAAGAAAGACGCTGCACTAAACTGGCACATTTCCAAATAATTAGTGGCATTTCATTTCTAATTTGGCCTCGACATTCATTTTCCTCCAAATTTTGTAAAATAAATTAATATTTTCTTGAGTAACGAGGATCCTAAAAGAAGTTTTTCAAATAAACAAGATTTAGACTCTTTTTCTTTTTACAAATCCAATCTCTTCCATTTTCTGTGTACTTATGCAAGTAATTTCAAGGTTTTTGCAATCTCAGATAAATTACTTGATACTTGTGAAGTGTTAGCTCTACTTTTACCCTATAAGTACCACTACATAACATATTCCTCATTCTGGAGTTTTCTACAGTGAAGAGCTGTGTTTTAAAACTACTGTTCAACAGTAATGGTTCAAATCTATTTCAAAATGTCATGAGTGTCTTTAATTTCAATCATTTATTAGGGTCCGAGCACCCAAAAGGGTGCGAAGACCCTATTGGAACTGCTCGGATTATTATTATTATTATTAGGGTCCGAGCACCCAAAAGGGTGCGAAGACCCTATTGGAACTGCTCGGATTATTATTATTATTCGTGCCAAAGACACGCGTTTTTGAGGCCCTAAACATACTCGAAAACTCACCAAAATTGCCATGTACATCAGACCCGGTGAAACATTTTACAATTTGGAAGAGCAATACACACTTCAATAGAAAAATTGCTCCACAGCGCCACCTTCTAAATTGTCAAAAGCACATTTGGCCTAGAGCTACGCAATTTTGTAGGCATATAGAGCAGGTCAGGA